AGTTTCCCTCCAACTACCCTTTTTCTGGTTTGTAGACAAACACCACAGGGAGCCTGATGGGTAAAATATTGTCTATTATCTGAATATTGTCATCCTTAGTCATGCTGAGTTGTACTTGACTATGTAAGGGGTTTGATTAGCAGATTATGTGCAATTTATCATTACCAGTGTTGCTCTATAAACTTAAAACCATTTATACAAAAAAATCAAGTTATGTTACTTTTCAGTGTAGCCTGCTCCACAAAGTACACAACAAATGTCAGATAAAATGTTAAAACAAAATACAGGACTATGTAGCACTTTAAAGACTAGCAAGATGGTTTATTAGATGATGAGCTTTCGTGGGCCAGACCCACTTCCTCAGATCAAATAGTGGAAGAAAATAATCACAACCATATATACCAAAGGATACAATTTAAAAAAATGAACACATATGAAAAGGACAAATCACATTTCAGAACAGAAGGGGGATGCGGGGGGAGGGGGAGGGAAGGAAGTGTTAGTCTTTAAAGTGCTACATAGTCCTGTATTTTGTTTCAGCTACACCAGACTAACACGGCTACATTTCTATCACAGATAAAATGTGAGTTTTCAAATCCTTATGGGATGGGACACTATCTGAAATATCTGCCTCAAGGAGCAGCAACAGCTGTCAAAAAACAAATCAGAAATTGTTAATTTGACTGCAGCTTTGAAATCAGGAAAAGTCCAAGACATAATTAACTATGTTACAAGGTACAAATCTTCCTAATAACAATACTATATGTGCATGTCTTAATTGCATGTCTGATTTTTCTCTTTTTAGTAGCTGTGGCCAAATAATTTTTAATTTAGCAGTCTCAGATTTCAGAATGTAATTCTGAATGTTGCATTATAGTTAGGATAGTATTCCCACAGTTATTTCCATGAATTTTGTATATTCCATTTGAAGAATTCAATTTCACCTATCTGCAATATATACATATTCATAAACTATTTCTTTGAACCGTTGCTCCTATTCATAGCTCATTTGCATTTCAAAATAAAAAGCTATAGCATACTTTAGTATATATCACCTACAAGCTTCACTTGTAAACAAAGCAAAATATATTCTAAAGTTAAGCTCAGAATGGCACAAACAATACATTTATTTTTATTCGTTAATTATATAACATTGCCGTCATGGTCAAAATCCACAAAATCATAGGCATTCAGAAATAAGGCTGAAAAACAGTCCTACACTCCCTCCTTTGCAATTAAGTTCTAACCCTACCACAATATATGGAACAATTAACCTATTAACTTCATTATGACCTGATAATACAGATTCTTGCATATGTGCTTAATTTGAAGCTCATTGTGGTCACACAGAAGTCTCTGAGAAGTAAGAGTCAAAGTTAGATTAAACTTTAAAATTAACAAAACATCGAGTTTTAGCTTTAAAGATTTTATTATCAGATACTATAAATCTTTTGATGCCCCTACTCTAGTGGTATAATTTAACATTTGAACAAACTATAGTTTGTATTTTGGCACAAAAGGGCAAAATTTATAATTTAAAGTTGAGCCTTAAGATATCCTGCAACCAGTGATGAGCAGACTTCATACAATTTGAAAGATTCATTTCAGAAAAGTCTTTAGAAGGGCATGGAAAAGATGTGTGATATGATTTTTAGGCTTGCTAATGAATTTTTGGTTTCCTTCAGGATGGATTCGAGTAACAGGCTGGGAACAGTGTTCCTATCAAAATATGATGTATATATTTTACATTAATGCATAGTTTATGGAATTCCCTACATCAAATGGTTAAAGCAACTGCGATTTAGAAAAATCTGGGATGAGTTCACACTGATGTATTGAAGAAAAGAAATTGTTTTACCACTTTAGTTTTATTGAAAAGGATAAGTTTTTATTTATTTGGAATTTGCAGCTTCTACATCTATTTAATTTTTTAATACTGAATACTGAACAATTACGCACCATATTACTCCTGGGAATACTTAAACTGTAATATCCTAAAAACAAAGAACTATAGAAAATGAGGTTCATTTTAAAGAGTTCTTTCTTAAAAAAATATTTTGTGAAATGAAAAACTTAAATGTGATCTGAAAATCATGGTAGTCATAGGTGACTTCTATAAACAACATACATGAAAAAGACTTTTAATACTCTGTTTTGCTTTTACCAGGCATAACAGAGGTTTGTCTTCAAGGTACATAAAAAGCACTGGATAGGCCACTATAAATATTATGGGAAATATTTCCTTTACTTTTAATCTAAAGTGTGTTCCAAACTAGTCTAATCCATTTTGCACAAGGAAGTATTTTAGTTAGCTGAATCAAACACCTAAACAGCACATGGTTTATCTTTTTAAATTGGAAGTGAAAATGAGGATGTGTAAACCTTACAGATCGTTTTCACCAGATAAGGAATTGCAGTTTCTCCTTTCAACGGGACTTTTACCAAAAACAAAAATAATGAACACAGGTTAACCTATACTGAAATGTCTATGAAAGGACACAAAATTGCCATGTGAATCTGATGTGGAAAAGGCATAAGGGTAAAATGCATTAAGTTACATGGAAACGTTTAGTGGAGATGCTGCAAGGATCAGAGTTGGGTCAAATTCTGTGAGTATTTTCATTAGGGCTGATATACATTAACAAAATTTACAGACTATACTGAATCTGGAGAAGTAGACATAACTAAGGAGGAAACAACAACCGGGGAAGCAGTAATTCTGAAAACTAAGTGAAGAAGATGGCAGATATAAATGAGATTTGAGTTTGCAATCTGACACAGCAGCAGAAAGGCCAGTACAACTGAGTTCTACATGCAAAGGCCTCACATCACAGAACACAGAAGTTAACAGACTCTTTCTATACTAGTGCTGATGGCCCTGCAGCATCCGGAATGGTGTTCGCAGTTTGGGACAACAAGTTATGAAGAAATACACTGACAAACTGATAGGACTACAGAGACTAGATATGAAAATGATCAGGGGTTGCAGAGAGTTTACTTGTGACAAAAGAGCTAACATGTATAAGCTTGCCTGAGACAATATAAGTGTGTATAGATACCTGCAGGGTATCAATACCAAGCATGGAGAGGATCTATTCAGTACAGACTACTAATTGGAATAATGGGATAAAATTAAGAAAAGAAATATTTAGACTTAGTATCAAGTAAAACTTTTCAGTAGTGAGCCATCTAAGCATCAGCATAGTCTTCCAAGGGAAGTAATGAGAGCCTAATCATGTGGAACATATATGACGCTTCACTGGTCAAAACTATTAAAATGCATGACAGGTGACAATCCCACTTCCACAGGTGGATGGGACAGACAGCCTAAGCAGTCTTTTCCATCTCTAATCTCTATGAGTATGACAATGTTCAAAAGAGCTAACAGGCTCATGCACAAGTATCCTGCCGTCCCGCAAGTATGTGAACAGATAACAGTAAAAAAAGACATTAACATCAATTATGAAGATAAGCACAAAAATATATACTCCACAACCTCTTTGTAAGGCTACATTTGTTTTTTTAAAGGCACCTCATCTTCTAGCTATTGCCAGCTTTAAAAGATTCACTTTTCAGTTTGAACAAGAGCTCAACAGTAAGAATGGAACATCTTTCAATTCACATTTGAATAGCCGCTGTTTCTTACATTCAACTTTTAATCAGTTAAAACCACAGTCTTTAAAAACAAGCATGCTGGCCTATTAGTTTTATGTACAGCAATCTAAACACCTTAATTATGTTTAATATTTTGTAAGCAAACGGCACAACATTCATTTCATACTTAGCATTATCCTTTGTATACACAAATTGAGAAGAACTCTTAATACTAAAACATTAAAATGCACCCATGAAGTCTTCCCTTACAAGACATATTTAATACATGTTTACAATATATATATATACACATTTAATATACATAACTTTTAGAATTTTTCAAATAAACCTTTGTAATTTCCTTTCCAAAAAGAAATAAAATAGTGACACTGAACGAACAAGAGTCAAGTACACAAATGACTTCACAAAGTTGAATGCTCAGTTTTTCAGCCAGATTCCCTCTTTTTTTTAATAATATAAAACTAAATAATTTGTATTATTATACTAATCTGTTCCATGGTAAAATTCTAATGTCATTTAATGGAAATATATTGTACATCGATATCACAAACAAATATCTGAATATTCAGAGCAGTAAAAGGTATTCCGCATTAAATATAGTACACTGCAGGCTCACAGTCTGGGGCAACCTTTTATCATAAAGCAATGGAATGGCATTGAGTGTTAATCTAAACTCCCCATTGTAATCAATGGGCAGTTCTGCTCAAGTGTGGTTCTGCTCTGAAAAGTCACTCTAAAAATAGCATTGTGTCCTATGTTTTCTGTGCCTCAATTATTCCTAATTTTCCATTTGTCAGTTTACAACACAAGATTTATTAACTTCTAGCCAAATTCTACCTGGAATCGGAGAGTCATGCTGTGTTCTTTCCTTCTCAATCATATCACCATCATTACTAAAGAATCTGCAGAACTAATTACATTCCACCAGAGGAACTAAGGATCCCACTGCCTTAAATGGATTTAAAGAAAGGTAAAGTCTGATGATGCTCAATAGAACAGAATCCACCTTACTCTCTTCACCCTTGGGATGGTCCTGCAGAGACAACAGGACTAAAAAGCAGCAAACTTATTTCGGTCACACAAGTAAACATATATCCTGTGAATATACCTAGCAACCAGATCTGCTGAGTAAAATGCTGAGTGGCATTTTTAAAGTCATTTTTCACATAACCACACTTTGAAGATACATGACACAGTATGCTCTATACGGGGGGAACATTTCAAAAGTTCTAACGGTTTGAAAGTTAGGGACTTCCTCTGGAAGTAGCAGAATTTTAAACTGATGGAACTTTGTAAAGTCCACATTAATCTGATAGCAAGGCTCAACAGAGCACTATGAATCCACGCTTAAAATGAAATCATGATTTTCATCCACAGTGGCAGCCTTTTTTTTTTTTTTTTGGTAAAACAGGAAGAAATGAAGACATATTGACTAAACTCTGCTAGAGGTTGCGGTAGGATGTTTTATTACAATTTCTTGTGCCTGACCAACAATAAACAGTATTATAAAATTGAATAAATTAAATCCCTTATTACAGTATATATAGACTGTTTTCAGCCAGTCTCCTTTACTGTGAACTAGACTACGGGCTAAGTTTCTAGCCACTTACTACCATATTCTTTCACAAAATTAATAAAATGTATTTTTTTCTGCAAAGTATATATTTGTATAACATAATAGATTTAACAAAAGGTTACTGCACTAATAATTTTTAAACATTAGTAATTTTTTCCTTTTAACAAAATTTACCTTTTGTTAGTTAGCAGCCAGGTGGATTAAGATTAACTATCAGCTACTTTCCTCTAAACACCATCTAGTCATTAATATCAAAGGGATGAACAAGTGAACTTCACATGGTAACCCAATGGGCATGTGAATAGTCACCTTTTTATGTTACTTAAGTACGCAGTTTATATGACTCCTTGATGAGAAACACACTTGGAAGTACCCCTCCTCGATCTTCTTCTGCAGCAATCATGCCAATTATTTACTTGCCCATCCCTCTAATGTTTCCCGCTTCATGTGCAGAGAATACAGAGACTTATCTGTCGCCCAAGGCCTGCCTGGACGAATACTTACACCCTCAGAAATAAAAGCGGTTCTTGTATTGATGTTTGAGAATTTCCAAGTGCTCAGCACCAGCTGAGCTTGCAGAAACCCCCAAAACCCCTTAATTTAGAAAAGAGCATCCTGCAAAAACTACACCATTATAAACATTCTCTGAATTACAGGGCATGAAATGAAGATTCTTGCCCAGGTCTTCCTCTCTTTTGTGCATCGGGTTAAATGTTCAAGAGCTAGAGTTGAAAGGGAAGCACTGTGTCATACGAAGACCTTAGCCAGAGCATCTGCTCCTGCACTGGCAATATAACATTTGGATGGATGGAATGCCACATCATGAATAGACTCATCAAATTTTTTGCGATGAGCAGTAAATTCTTGAATACAGGTTTTGCTTTCAAGATTCCATAAGCGAATTGAACAGTCATGGCCTATATAGGAAAAAAAAAAAAGAAATATGTTTTCTCAATTGTAGAGAACATTGAAGTTATTATGATAAAGGAGGAGGTTAACATTTGATGTACTTACTGCCAGACATCAAATACAAGCCATTAGGATCAACAGCTAAACTTGTGACTGCATCTAAGTGGGCTACCATTGCGTGGATCAGTTTTCCTTTGAAAGAAAAGATTATCCATATTATTTTTCTACAGTTCATTTTCATAATTCAACATATTACGGCAAATTACTTTGTCTGGCCCCAAAGAATCTGCAAGAGAATAAACATTTTAATTCTGTCGACTGCTTTTTCTCATTGATTGGAGCCTGTCACATTTTATTTTATATTAAAGGAAAATACTCTCTCATGATTGGGCTTAATACAGTTTTGTATCAAGTCATTTTAAATTGTTCACTTGCTCAGGGGATCAACAGTTCTCAAGTCAACATCTCTGTTTATCTATTGCATTGTGTATACAACATCTTTCTTGTGGGCTGTAACATACAAATACTTTCCCCTGAGCAGATGCTGTAGCCAGAGTTCCTATAGAATCATAGGACTGAAAGGGACCTCGAGAGGTCATCGAGTCCAGCCCCCCGCCCTCAAGGCAGGACCAAGCTCCATCTACACCATCCCTGACAGATGTCTATTCATGTCTTTGCTTTCTGACCGACTTATAAGTCAGCAGTAAGCCACAACAATATGTAGGCAATCATCCATTTTTTGGGTAAATATAGTTAAGTGCCTTCAACCATTCCAAAACTGAATCAGTCTTGGAATGCATGGCTTTTTTGGTTATTACAGCAATTGCTTCATGTAAAAAAACAAAACAAAATTGTGGGTTTATCTATCAAATATTTTCTTCTATTGTGGAAGGAAATTTACATGTAATAGGAAAGAAAATAGGACTAAAGTTAAGGTTTTTGGTCTCTCTGTTCAATTTTAAATAATTGTATTTATTTTCATATTTTCCGCTAGCTTCTATCATCACTTGACAGGAGCTCAGATAACACTTTTTAATATCGTGCAATACA